TCCCTTTCTAACACAATAATTTTTTATTTTTTTATAATAAATAATGTTTATATCGGGTTGCTCACCGCTCCATTAAATCTTCTGCTCTGTAATCTATAATATATTATAAATTATTTGATTAAAACTCTTAAAAATTATTTTTTTTATGTATGAAAAACTGTGTATTATTGCATATTATTTAAAATTTAAGATTACATGTAAATTATATATAAGTACAATTTATTAATGTTTCATTTTTTAATTCGTATAATAAAATGTAGATAAACATATCAAATACAAGAATAACATATCATTTTAAATATAAAAAATCTAAAATATAACTAGAATAACAGGGGAATTCTAACATAATCATTATTTTTATAAAAGCCAAAAATAAATTGCTTCATTATTTGACCTAAATAAAATTTGAATTAAAGAAATTGTACAAAAAATCAGAGAACTTTTAAATAGTTAATTTGATATTAATATCGATATATTTTTTTCAAATTTATTTTTATTCAAAAGTAAAAACATTATTTTTCTCATAACCGTATTATATCAACAGAGACAAAAAATAGAACAAAACATTAAAATGAAGATGTATCTCGCTGTATTACGCGAGTACCATTCTAGTATCATATAAAACTTTTATTTTAAACTACAAGGGTGGTGCCTGATTGGTTTGAGTTTGGCTCAAAAGTATTAAGAGGTCCGAGGTTCAAATCCAAGGAGGAATAAAAATCTTATTGTGGCCACGGAGGTTCAAATGTGGTGACTTCGAGCTATCTGCAAAGCAGGTGGTCGTTTTGGTAGTCGGCTCGCATAGCGGGTTGAATATATAGGTTAATCAATATATATATATATATAATTTTGTTATAAATATGCTCTCTTTAATTATTTTCTTTTATTTGTTTTAGGAGGTCATGTGTGATGTACTTAAGTTTTAACTTTTGCATAACCTAATTTAAATCAAGTAGGGGTGGGTACATGACAACTATGAAGTTGGGACCATTACCTCATCTTCTTTTTGGACCTTATACTCATTTATATTTCTTTCTTTTTTTAATAATTATCTATTAATCTATATTCATGTAATGCATTTAAGCTTTGAGCAACAGACTGATATAATAACTTAACCTGATTAAAAATTCATGATATCTTTGGGATGCCTGAGAGGTCACAAACAGCTCCCCTCAGGTCTGACTCGTTATCTGAATGATAAAATGATCGATTTTGATATCGTCTTGAAATCCAAACAAGAGATTAGTCTTATTAGTTTAATGTAATTATAAAATTGTATTGTGTTTTAATACTGAATATAATATATAAAATATAATTGCAAAAAAGGAAAAGGAAAAGGTAGGTTTGAATGTGATAAAAGGAAGAATTGAAGGCCACACCATGTGGTGAACACTTTGAATGCTCAACCAATTGCTACTTAGAGTTATGGAGATTTTGGAAGTGGGAATTCCTTTATATACATACTGCTCTCTCTTTTGTTATGTGAAATTTAAAATTAATATGAATATATTTAAAATTATTAAAAACTTATGGTTTATAAAACATAAACTTAATTTGTGTCAAAACTATGCCAAATCTCTCTCTCTCTCTCTATATATATATATATGAATGAGTTTATTTGTTAATCTAATATATGGTGTTAACTTTGTGAATTAATTTCATTCGTTGATCTTTGAAATTTATGGTTGAGATCGTCATGACATAAAATTTAATTAATTGCACAAAGAGACAAGGTAACACAAGTGAATAATATTTACAAGGATATTAAAAAAAAAGATTTTAATGATATGAGATTTAACTTGTTCACTCATGAACACCCCACATCACACCACACCACACCACACCACACCACGAGAGTGGAAATCATAATGATGTGATGGTAGTTGTGAGTATTGATGGTATTTTTTCAACTTTTGGGTGGTCAAATTAGAAACTGTATGATGGTCAAATGCTTAAACAACACAAATAATATATGTCCCTCTTCATCTACTCTTTTAATTTTTTTTGTCACATACCTGGGCCCATTTGTATATATCTTAGACTAATTTTAAAGTCTTAAAAGAACTGCAAGAAAAATTCATTTGTTTTATACAACTTGAATAGATGATCTTTGAAAAATATTCAAAAAAGACTAAACATTATTGTCAGTTAAACTAATCTCACAAGATTTACTCTAAATTTTAATTGTACATTAAATGATTAAAATCTGTAGTATAAGAAAGCTTAAATGATGGAAATGGAAGTTACCAATTTGAAGCGATCAATACTTTCTCTTTTTATAATTGGAAATTGATGTTACCAGTAAAACTCTGATTTATAGAAAAATTAACATGATCTGAGACGAAATGTAATAATATCAAATGACTCGAACTTTGATATTTTATTTATAATAAAAGCATTTAAATTGTTTTTGTTAACTTTGATCGAATACTATAGAATAAAGTATCAAATGTCGATATTTAAATTACAAACCAATTAAAATAGATAATATTAGTTATTAATATTATAAAGAGAGTGATGATGATATTGTTGATTTCTATTTTGTAATTGAAGACTAATTATTTTAATCATATTGGATAAGTATGCAAAATGTGGTATCAATAAAAAGTTCTTGAAATATATTTAATATGACCATTTGGACTAATGTATAAAATATTATTGATTGAAGGAAAGGCCATAATCTAAATAAAAACTTAACTATATAAAAATCTATATCTATATCTATATCTATATCTATAATATATTATAAAATATTTAATAAAAATTCTTAAAAACCATCTTTTATACATGAAATACTGTTTATTGATGTATATTACTTAAAATTCAAAATTTCAAGCAAATTGTACGTAAAAACAACTTATTAAGCTTCATGTTTGAATTTGTGTAATTAACTGTAGATAAATATAATCAAATACAAAATAAAATTCTTATTTTAAATATAAAATCTAAAATATAATTAGAATAATTATTGAGTTCTAATAAAATACTTAGTTACTATCTTTATAAACA